CATTGCGGTGGACTAGAAATGGGCTTCACACATAGTGCCCTTGGGAATCGAACCCGGATCAGAGTCAGACGCCTAAGCCGCCTAGCCACCGCGACTTCCGGCGGTGTCTGAGCGGGTTAGGCGGCTGACTTTGTGTGCTGGCGGTTAGGTGCCTGACTCTGAGGGTGTGCGTTCGAATCCCGGATGGGACTCAACCCAACAAAAGTACAAGAATCTGTACCTTACTAAGAAAGTGTAATCCCAAATATAACATATGTTTTATCGGTTTCTTTTGCAACCACAAAAGTATTCCTGAGGTTTCTTACACTGTCTTAGATTGACGTCCGATCGTGTGCCACTAATTCCCAACATCACTTTCCAGTTTTGTATCTGTTAAACATTGAGTGAGAGCACGTGAGTCTTAACTTCAGCCTTTAGCTTTACACCTATTACCATGTAGAGAATCGAACCCGGACCTAGAGTGTGTAACGCTATTTCAATCAGTATCCAGTTTTACACGGTGTGTCAGCGTGACGTTTGAGGAAAAACCAAAGTGATGCAGGGCACAGATTATTTCCACTCTCTTGAAACCCTAAAACCTAACAGTTGGGCTGACAATTCTAGAAACATAATCAGGGGAAACTGGGATTCGAATCCACGACAACAGGCTGTCTGACACGCCTAAGGTTGACATGTCGACATCTTCGCTACAACGTCAAAAACTAAGACGGTATGTAGACTATTTTAATTGCAATGCCCAACGCAGTACAAGCATATATACGTCCTGACGGCTTGTCTTCTGTAATATTTATGGTTACGCATTAAACCTGTCCAACTGAATGCTGAATACTGAGCATTGTCAAACACGTCACTTACTGAGACCCGAGATAGCTGAAATACATTCACTTTATCAAATGACCGTTTAATCAAAGCTTTCAATGCTCTGCTAAACGTTGCTTTAATGCTCTGCTAAACGTACCTATGAATTACCCATCTGGAAGTAAGCCCCAGTCGAGAAAGGATTCCAAATATAGGTTTGACATGTCTGACCTGCTTTCAGTCTCTGTTTCACTTTGATCAGATCCATTTACAAACATCGACTGACTGTGTCACTCCAGTCCCCCAAACTGGGACGTGTGCCGTGTGTTTTCTTCTACTGACGGAACGGTATGCAGTGGGTATACCATCTGTCCTAAGACCACGTGTGTTTTGTGTTTGTGAAGCTGTAAGCGGCAATTCATCAACTCTGGAAACTAAGTCATCATATTTCCTGGTGGGATACTTGATACACGTGCTGGGCGTGTTCTGTATTTCTGCCGCTGTGGAACTGGGAATATCTACTTTGCCGCATTGAGAATATGTGCTCTGACGCTCCCAACAAATTGAGAAGATGTGCTTTGCCGCTCTCAAATTGAGAATATGTGCTTTGCCGCTCCCAACAAAATGAGAATATGTGCTTTGCTGCTGCCAACAAATTGAGAATCTGTGCTTTGCTGCTCTCAAATTGAGAATATGTGCTTTGCCGCTCCCAACAAATTGAGAATATGTGCTTTGCTGCTGTCAACAAATTGAGAATCTGTGCTTTGCTGCTGTCAACTAAAGGAGAACGTCTGTTTAGCCAAAGTCAACAATTTGAGAATTTCTGCTTTGCCGTTTTGCCGATGTCAACAAATTGAGAATATCCGTTTTGATGTCAACAATTTGAGAATTTCTGCTTTGCCGTTTTGCCGCTTTCATCAAATTGAGAATGTCTGCTTTGCCTTGTCAACAAATTGAGAATATTTGTTTGCCGTTGTCAACTAACTAAGAATGACTGCCAACCCATTTGCGCCATTCTCACCATGCTGTTTGAGAAGACCACTTTTTTCTACCTAATTTGTCTGTGAGGAAAGGGTCGTTCTCATGCGCCGCCTGTTAATTAGGCCTCGCTTGTTAGTACGCTATCTGTACGCTTGGATTTGTCAGGGACACTTTTGATCGCCTTTAAGTGGTCGGGAGCGGTCTCAGCCTTTGTGAATGTGGACATTTAATGGGTTCGTACACGCTACTGTCTGTGCTATCGTGATTCCTCAACTGTGTACGTTGTCGCAGGCGACAACGATGTCCCGACTTTGTGGTCAAATCAGTCTACGTATCATATCTACACCAGAACACAAGGTAGGTGCTTTAGTGGGTGGTCGTTTCGATGTTGAGCCAACGCTTTAATAATTATATACTTTTCATGAGTGGGAGCGGTGGGGTAGCCTAGTGGTTAAAGCGTTGGCTCGTCACGTCGAAGGCCCGGGTTCGATTCCCCACATGGGCACAATGTGTTAAGCCCATTTCTGGTGTCCCCCGCCGTGATATTGCTGGAATATTTCTAAAAGCGGCGTTAAACTAAACTCAGTCAGTCAGTCAGTTTTCATGAGTGAGTGAGTTTTGTTTTACGCCGATTTTAGCAATATGCCAGCAATATCACAGCGGGAGACACCAGAAATGGGCTCCACACATTGTACCCATGTGGGGAATCGAACCCGGGTCTTCGGCGTGACGAGCGAACGCATTAACCACTATAACATATGTTATATTTGGGATTACACTTTCTTATACTAAAAATGGCATTGTGTATTGCATTAACCACTAGGGTACCCCGCCGCCCCTCCTTTCAATGAAGAATTCTAGTATCAACCCAGTGTTATATGAACCAGTTATAAGAAATATATTTGTTTTCAATATGTAAATCGCCATGAAAAAAAAATTCAACTTGCTGATGCAGCGTTAAGCAATATTCATTCATTCAACCTTAATTAGGAAACACATGATGCTTTAGTGGAGACTAATCGTCAACAAATATATACAACTTGTAATATTATCCAGCTAGGTAGAAATTACTGGACACAATATATTGTTTTATATTATATATTATTATGTGTATGTGGGAATATGTTCATTTTATTTGTGAACTAATGTTTTAACATTCTTTGCACTTTTATTGTAATTTATGTTAACTACAATACACACTAAAGTGTTACAATGGATTAGTTACATTTTCATTTGTGGGCTTTGAAACAGCTAAATCGTTGTTACACTAATACGTCTATATAGCTTGCAGTAACGTGATTACCACAGATCGCGCATGTGCAGAGCAGGGTTTCGTTCGGGCAGTTATACCAGCGTGTGAGGTATAGGGTATGTTTTGACAAGAAACACACCTCGTGCTTGAGAACGTCTGATGTGACAACGCAGGAATGCCAGCTTCTCAAATTAACGTAACTCTATAACCCGAATGCGCTTTGTACAAAAACAGTTCTTTACACTTCTCATTTGTCGTGGCTCTGTAAACTGTCATGATTGTTTTGTTCAAAGACTTCCCTTTGACATGCAATATGATATTGCTACATGGCATTTCTCGAACGCATTTCCACAGCGAGGCTGAACGGTTGTCGAGTTTGTGTGCTTTAAGTTTGTTAGTGCGGTATTTCTGACCTGTAATGTCCAATGACCATTGATAGTATAGACGCCGTGTTGTGTGTTCAGCGTCCTTTGGGGCGGTGGGGTAGACAACTGGCTAAAGCGTTCGCTCGTAACTCCGAAGACCGGGTTCGATTCCTCACATGGGTACAATGTGTGAAGCCCATTTCTGGTGTCCCAAGCTGTGATATCTTGCTAAAAGCGGTATAAAACTATCGTCCGTTGTAATAGCGACTGCTTCCGTGGTCTAGCGGATAAAGCGTGAGCCATGAGAACGGAAAGTCGGTTGTTCGATCCCAGCCGCGACGTACCAAACACGTTTAATTATGGTACTTCTTGTTACTCAGCCTGCCGCTCGGCATTAAGAGGACAAACAAGGCCCTGTCGGCTCGGAGTCACTGTTCTGTGTATGAGAGGGTGTCTGTGTTAAACTGTGGCATGACATTCCAATGTTACGGACGCACGCTCGTACACGTGCAGACCGACTAATAAATGAAATATCGTGCACGCAATGTTAAACCCCAATTCAATTCGCCTTAATTCATCTCCATTAATATAATGGGCTACACTCGGATGCATTTACATTCAGAGCCCGTCTTATTCAAGTGAATAAAATCCACTTCGAACAAATCCGATATTTTGAATTTCGAGAGTTCTGTGTTACGCCGTAGTCATGGTTCCAGCTACATTCAGCTACAGGGAACATCGTAAAAGGCCAATAGCAACGGAATTGAAACCCACACCGTGACGAGAGAACGCCCGACCCACTCAACCACCCTGTCCCAGCAGGGCACGACAGAAAGGACCAGGTCCTGCCAGTCCCCTTCTTTCATACGTTCACACTTGCTGGATACACAAGCTGTAGGGGCAGTGGACTTATGTCATTGTATCCAGATGCGTAGATTGGTGCTCATGATGTTGATCACTGGATTGTCTAGCCACACTTGATCATTTACAGACAGTGCCAAACAGCTGGAATGTTGCGTTAAACAACAAACAATAATATGTGAAGCCTGTCTGTGTTGTCCCTAGCCGTGATATTGCTGGAATATTGCTAAATGGCATAAAACCTGACTCACAAGTCAAAACCTCGTTCAGTGCCCCTTGTAATTGGAGTCTTTGTATCCCAATTGAGTAGATCGATGCCCATCATGTTGATCACTGGATTGTCTAGTCCAGATTCGATCATTTAGAGACCACCACCACATATCTGGAATATTGTTGAGTGCGGCGTTATACAACATACAAAGAATCAAGACAGTTGAATATTCTAACATGCTTCACTAAACAACCAAAGGGGACGTTTGTACATTTTTCCTGTGATAATGAAAACCAAACAAACAAAAACAATGCCCCCTTGGTCCTGGGATACAGTAGTGCAGACCTTTCCCATACAGCAACCCAACACCCCGAGCCAGCCTCCGTACACATGCATCTACCACGGGGTTGTTCCACGTGTCAGTAGATCTCCAAGCCATATTCCACAATGAATAATGCATGGGACTCCATTATAACGCAAACTTGCCTCCGACATGCAGTACTTCTAACTATTGATTTCACCTCAGGTTTCCACAGTCGGCAAGATGGCAGCCGGTCTTAGCAGTACTGACAGATCCTCAACAGATCCTGTTTCCAGCACGTGGGATGCCTGATCTATCGTGTGAAACATCATCCACCTCAAACCCGGAACTGTATCTCCTAGCTCTCCACAGCAGTTCCGTCTCCCGATTCGCCACGCCCCAGTTCCATTATCGACGACCGAATTACCAATCTGTACCGACCTGGTATTGACGCAGGTAGTGTCCTCGAGCGTCTGTGCGGAAACCGGTACTCGTAACCACATAGTAAATAATTATGTACTGTGTTAATCATCAAGCTTTGTGTTTTGTCGTCGAAAGCCTTGGCCCTGTTTCACGGGAAATCAATGCCAGTGACATTGCTGTGTTCAGCGGTTGTGTTTGATCATCCGGAGTGTGTGAATCACGAAGTATCAGCGCTTGTTTCTACACGATACTACGGAGTGTATGTTAAAATCAGCAGCCCACAATGTGTAGGTTGTTTGTGAACATTTACTGAAACGAGTTCCCCTTGTCCACCATCGACAGTTCTTCGCCATGACTCGGAGGAGGAACCTACGGAAGCCCAACTTGGAGGCCATGAGAGCCGCGGTATCGGGGGGCAACCAAGTCATGAGACCTCTGTCCCCTGGCGAGGCTCCTCCCCCGGGGGGTCAGGTGTACACCCTGAGGAGAGAGGACCCCCTCCAGGATGCGCTGTTTCCAAGATGGAGTCCTGTGTTGGTGGCGGTTGTCACGTTCGTATTACGGGTGGTGTATGTGTGTCAGAAGAAGAACTGGTGGGTGCTCCACCCGGATGAGGTGTTTCAGGGGCTGGAAGGTGAGCTTTGTCAGTGGGGTTGCGGGTGGGGAAGGGTGGGTAATGGGGTAGGAAAGATAAGGGAGGAGTGGGAGGGGTGGTATAATCGAGTTGCACATTTTTGTGGGGATGGTGCGGTGGAGTAGCCTTGAATATTAAGCGACCGTTCCTCACGCGAAGGAGGGTTCAAAATGTGTGCATGTTTGCGTTTGCGAAGGTGTGGCGTGTGGTTGTGTGCGCGTACGTGTGCGTGAGTGCGTGCGTGTTTGTTTGTTAACCAGGTTGTTAAAGCGTTAGCCTATGACATCGAGAACCTAGGTTCAATTTCAAACAAAGGTACAATGTGTGAAGCCCATGTCTGGTGTCCTCCGTCGTGATGTTGCTGGAATATTGCTAAAAGCGGCGTAAAGTCATACTCACTCACGGCATATACACAGCACATGGGCTACCCCAAAACACCGGACTCTATTTTAGCAAAATCATAGGTGAAATCTCTGGTTATCAGCTCGATAAAATAGCCCCAACATAGGTACACGTCATTTTACACTAAATGTTTTACAGTTTGAACGCCTACACAAGCTCTCGCTCCGCTTCCTGGCTATAGTCCTAGCTTCATTCTTTGTCCTAGAAAACATTGACGTGTAAATTAAAACCACCGGACCTCGACTTGGCATTTTGCCAAATTCATCAATCATTTCAGTCGTCAATGACACGCACGTGAACATGCACATAGCGAGTTGGCCTCATTCATTCTGATGCAGTTGGTGGAATTGTTTAGAGAACGTAAGAGGCCTACAATCTCGTATGCATGAGTTGGCATATCATTGCGACAAAGACACATGTGACTGCACGTCTTCTGCCTGGGATTGCTGTACCTGGAGATCGGCCTCCTTCAATCAATACCTTGACAGATGGGATGCTATAGTTTCTTCATCCATCTCAGGGATTGTTTAAGCCTGTTGTTGATCGGATGTTAGAGTGAGTGACTGAGTATGGTTTTCGCCGCTTTTAGCAATATTCCAGCAATATTCCAGCAATATCACGGCGGGGGGACACCTGAAATGGGCTTCACACATTGTACCCATGTGGGGAATCAAACCCGGGTAATGCTTTGACCTCTAGGCTACCCCACCGCCCCGGATGTTTAAAGTGTAACGGTAAGGTGAGGCCGTGATACGATACATATGCCGATATTGTGGGTGTGATGCGTAGCATATGCCGATATTGTGGGTGTGATACGATACATATCTCGATATTGTGGGTGTGATACGTAGCATATCCCGATATTGTGGGTGTGATACAATACATATTCCGATAATGTGTGTACGATACGATACCTATCCCGATATTATGGGTGCTGTGATTCGTATCCCGATATTATGGGTATGATACTATATTTATCCCGATATTATGTATGCGATACGATTCATATCTTGATATTATGGGTGCAATGCGATATATTCCGATATTATGGGTGCAATACGATATATTCCGATATTATGGGTGCGATACGGTATATTCCGATATTATGTATGCGATACAATTCGTATCTTGATATTATGGGTGCAATACGATATATTCCGATATTATGTGTGGAATACGATATATATTCCGATATTATGGGTGCAATACGATTCGTATCTCGATATTATGTGAGAGAATACTTTTATTTCAGAAGTTCATATTATTCCCCATATTGCAGGTGAATCACAGCCCTGAACCATTTGTTTTTAAATTTCAGACATCAAAGATGGGATATTGTTGGTTAGAAACATTTAAACTTGGGGGCACTGTTCAGATTCTGTTTTAGCCAATCCGGAAACACTGAAGAATGTGGATAAACTGCTTCTTGAACAGTTTCTGTCGTTATTGCAATTTTTATGTGTTACGTGAAATTAACCTGTAATGTATCATATGTATCGCGATACTGGAGTTCAATCGATGTTTTATATCATGAGCGTTGCATCGCAATACAATACTGTATAACCGTATCGATACACCACCACTTAATACCCGACGGTGCCGACCATTGTATGTGTTTGTCCTTTATCATATATCAGTACCAATCTTACAGTTACCACGTACTGCTTCTGTCAATGCTGATGATTCTGTTGCTGCAACTGTTAATGCTTGGGCAGTGGGTAGCCCAGTGGTGAAAGTGTTCGCTCGTCACGCCGAAAGCCCCGGTTCGATTCCCACATGGATACAATGTGTGGAGCCCATTTCGGGTTTCCGCCGCCATGATATTGCTGGAATATTGCTATAAGCGGCGTAAAACCAAACACACTCACTGTTAATCACTCGTGGAATAGCCCCCAGCAAGCTATGCTTCTTAAGAGGGCTGGTTAAAGCGTTGCTCGTCAAGGACCCGGGTCGAATCCCAACATGGGTACAATGTGTTAAGCCCATTTCTGGTTCCCCGCCGTTATGTTGCTGGCATATTGCTAAAAGCGGCGTAAAACCAAAACTCAGTCAGTCAGTCAGCTATGCTTCGTAAAACCGACGAAGGGAATTGGATGGCTAGGCATGTTACTTGGTTATTCGTGTGTCAACTTGCCCCGCCGACATGAATCATTTCTCGTGCTGTCAATCACGGGATTGTTTGGTCCATACTCAATTAATATACAGTCCAATGTATTAAACTATACTGACGAACAGAAGAAAGTACACACGTCTTGTTTTGAGATAATATTTTGCAATAACAACGGAAATATTTGTTTGATTGAACCTTAGACTTTAATTCTCTAATTTGGAAGACGGGTAAAAATAGGTCTTCGGCAACATCTGTTGGTTATTTGTAAGAGGAGTCAGTGGATTGGATGATCACGTTCGGTGTCTTGGTTTATTCCATGTCATCGTACCCTGACGGCATGGGTCATTTTTCATAATATCAATCACTAATTTGAGTGAGTGAGTGAGGTTTTACGCCGCTTTTAGCAACATTCCAGCAACATCACAGCGGGAGACACCAGAAAGGGCTTCACACATTATTCCCGTGTGAGAAATAGAACCCGGGTATTCGACGTGACGAGCGAACGCTTTAACCACTAGGCTACCACCCCCCATTAACTTATAGTAATGTGGATGAGTGTCGCGTTAACTAACATTCAAACAAAACGTTATTTTAATGATAAAGATGTGTTTATTGTATAACAGTATTGGTTCTGTGCAGGGCCCTCACCTGGAAACGTTATCCGTTTTGAAAGATGTGGGGCATCCATCCAGTTAATTCCCGCTGCCCTTCCCCACTCCGCATCAACTAGTTTCCAAGTCATGGATCCACCTCTTTAACATGTCCCAATATATCCCGCTTACAAGAAGCTAAATAATACGCCATTCTTTCATATTCTTATATGTGTATTCAAAATAACTATAGAAACATGAAAGCAAACATATGCGTTATTAATTGTGTTTTGTGCTGAGGGCGGTAGGGTAGCCTAGTGGTTAAAGCGTTCGCACGTCACACGGAAGATCCGGACTCGATTCCTCACATGGGTACATGTGTGAAGACACCTATTTAACTCATTACCTACCTAATTACCTACCGAGGTACCTACCTATCTACCTACATACGTACCTACCTACCTACCTACCTTACTTACTTACCTTCATAAATGCCTACCTACCTTACTTATCTACTTACCTACATACATGCCTACCTACCTACCTACCTTACTTACCTACCTACCTTACTTACCTACTTACCTACATATATGCCTACCTACCTACCTACTTTACTTACCTACCTACCTTACTTACCTACCTACCTTACTTATCTACTTACCTACATACATGCCTACCTACCTACCTTACTTACCGACCTACATGTCTACCTACCTACCTACCTTACTTACCTACCTACATGCCTACCTACTTACCTACCTACATGCCTACCTACCTACCTACCTACCTTACTTACCTACATATCATGCCTACCTACATATCATGCTTACCTACCTACCTGCCTGCCTACCTACCTACCTTACATACATGCCTACCTACCTGCCTACTTATCTACCTTACCTACATACATTTGCCTGCCTACCTACCTACCTTACTTACCTCCTTACCTACCTACCTGTTTGTTCGTTTTTTGTTTATTTATATATTTAGGGCGGTGGGGTAGTCTAGAGGTCAAAGCGTTTCCCGAGTTCGATTCCCCACATGGGTACAATGTGTGAAGACCATTTCTGGTGTACCCCGCCGTGATATTGCTGGAACATTGCTAAAAGCGGCGTAAAACCAAACTGTTAAGTAGCATATAAACACAGCCCCTGTCCGAGGACGTATCGCATTACCAAATGAAAAGTAACAATAAACCAAACCTTTCCTCAAATGCAACTCATTCATTTGAACTTAAAATACGTGCACCATGTAAACAGCGAGTGTATGTACGTGTTTAACTAGTTTGTAATCTGTATATTTAATTTTGCTCTAACTAGTACTCCTTGAATAACATCAGTAAGTGGGGATTATTATCCGAGTGTGTTAATATATCCTCAATATAGTATATTAGGCAATGAACGTGTATTATGCAAACAACAACCTAGACTATTTCCCACAGAACTTAGGCATACTCTTCGCTTTGACGCGGACACCCCGCCCACTCTTAGCCCTCTCTCACGATAGCCATCGACAGGTCCCCACCCCTCTACTCTACACTATGTCACTGTTACTTCCTAAGACCCGTGCGTTAATGGGAAGCTATTTACATTGTCGAGGTGTTCCTGTGGGAACATTACACCTATTAAACTTCAGGACGGGACAAATAAAGCGTGACATGCTACATTTGAAGACCGTGTTGCGGGTGACTTCACAAGGCAATCTGGTGAGGTGTTTAACCTGCTGTGGGAGATTCACCATGACGGCAGAATGGGAGATTTTTTCCCGTAGTTCCTCGAATAAACGTCCCCAGAATAGAAGCTGGGGTTTACCTCTAACACCGGACCTCGGTACAACACCGGGTAGTTTTCATGCACGAAGCTATGCCCATTATTTAACTTACCTACCTACCTACCTACCTACCTACTTACATGCCTACCTACCTACCTACCTACCTACCTACCTACTACCTACTTCTTAGTGATCGGGTGGTCAGGCTCGCTGACTTGGGTGACACATGTCATCGGTTCCAAATTACGCAAATCGATGCTCATGCTGTTGATCACTGGAGTGTCTCGTCCAGACTTGATTATTTACAGACCACCGCCATATAGCTGGAATATTGCTGAGTCAGCGTAAAACTAAACTCGCTCACTCACTCACCTACCTACTTACCTATTTATTTGCCTACTTATCTACCTACTTACCTACCTACGTTACTGACCTACTTACCTACCTACCTATCTACCTTACTTACTACCTACCTACATGCCTACCTACGTACCTACCTACTTATTTGCCTACTTATCTGCCTATTTATCTCCTTACATACCTACTTACCTACCGAGGTACAGTCAACTCTCGTTAATCCGACACTTGTGGTTGCAGAGAAATATGTCGGATTAACGGAAATGTCGGATTAATGAAAATGTCGGATTAATGTATTTGTGTGAAAATATCAATGTTTCCTAAATGTCATGATCGTCATACTGTTGCATGCATATCAGAAATGGCAGATCTAGTTATCTTCATCGTATGTAAAATATTCACAGAAATAAAAAAATACTAACAATACATACTTGTTATCATTTATTAACATTCATAGATGGCATAACATACATATATAATCACGTAAGCGAACAGTTTCATATCTATTTCATGACCACATTGGCACAAAACTCACGTTTGTTTTTACCGCATATCAGCATAAATGGTTCCCTAATTTTTTTGTCGGATTAACGTGATTGTCGGATTAATGAGTGTCGGATTAACGAGAGTAGACTGTACCTACTATCTACCTACTTACTTACCTACCTACTTATTTTGCCTACTTATCTACCTCCTTACCTACCTACGTACCTACCTACGTACCTACCTACGTACCTATCTACTAGGGGTGGGTATTGCAGAGATTTTTCATATTGCGATATATTGCGATGCAGTTTGTTTGGTCCAGAATTTCAGTAAATAATCGTGTCCGAACCAGGCAATCCAGTGATCAACAGCATGAACGTCGATTTACGCAATTGGGAACCGATGACATGTGTCAACCAAGTCAGCGAGCCTGACCACCCGATCCCGTTAGTTGCCTCTTAGAAGCATGTGTAACTGAAGATAGTAGGTCGAGATGGTAATCTGGCCGTTAACCAACCAACAATGCACTTAGCGCTGTATACTCCCGAGGAAGCCGAGATTATAAATCGAGCGCACATTGATCTATATTTACCGATGTCATAATGCCGACGCTTTGAGCATACGAACCGTGTATGGAGGATAGTGCAGATTAGTACGCTCCTTATTATTATCATTCTTATGAATTATTATGAACCTGTATGACCTCAAGAAGGGGCTATAGATATGTACATAAGTACAGTGTTATTATGAACTTGAACTCATGACTCGGGCTTTCGTCTACACGGGCCACCGCACATGTGTGTAAACAGACATAGAAATACATGCCGTGCCCTGATGCAGCATACTTATCGGTAGGGGCACCTCCGATAGAGATTAATTTCTCACTGTGCGGGACCTCGTTACGTAACGGTACCTCGATAGGATGGCTCGCTGTCCCAGCCACACTCTTTGTCTGAGCCAGAAAAGATTTGATATATATTTATGAATATTTATTTAATATATTAAGATGAATATATTAAGGAAAGACCTCCTTCCGTTCCCCATATTTTCTTGTAATATTACCGTGCCTGGGGCCCTTATCATACAACGTGGTTCGACCCTATATATTGTAATGAATTTTGGGGGTTTAAGTTATTTTTGTGAGTTCTCTAGTAATTGTTGTGTTAGGTTTTGTTGATAATTTTAGTATATATTAATGTATAAATATTATTTGGGTGGGGGAACGGGAGCAACTCTTACCCATTATGAAGGTTCCACAAACTGAAAAAAACCTGTTCTTGGTGATTTTTCTACTTTCTGCAGTTTAACATGATTGCAAAGTTTTTGTTTTTCCGCTATTTATCGCTTTTATTTCATTGTATGTCTTTGTATATATCTATAAAAACAACACGTTGAATTTTTTAATAGCTTTTGTCCGAAATTGGACACAGTGAGCAGAGTTTCTAGAAAAAGGGTTTCCAGGATCAAGCCTCAACCAAGTCAACGAAGTCTGACCACCCGATCCCGTTAGTTGCCTCTTACGACAAGAGTTTGTGTTTAAGAGTGAGTGAGTGACTGGGTGAGTGAGTATAGTTTTACGTCGCCTTTAGCAACATTCCAGCAATATCACGGCGGGGTACACCAGAAATGGGCTTCACACATTGTACCAATGTGGGGAATCGAACTCGGGTCTTCGGCGTACCGAGCCAAAGCTTTACAAATATTCTACCCACCGCCCCTTGTGTTTAAGAAGTGACATCTACACGAATGTCAATAGCAAGTGTGAATCCGACATTTCTACCAAGGGAGGAGTTAGAGTTCTCCGGAGAATCTGTACCCCAACGTTAACCCTAACTTTGAACATGTAGGAAACAAAACCCAGACACCAGGGCCCTTTAAAAACATCGTAGCCCTAACAACAACATTGATATATATGTGTTCAGTGTGGGAAACATAATTCTACCATACACCAGGACTGGTAATTCTGAAAACTTACCATCCCTTCCCAAAAGTTGCCAGACCAATTTATTTTACATTTCAGCTCAGCAGTAACATAAAATACTATTAAGTATCTTTGCTTTCATATTTATTGAAATGCCTAACAAAAGAAACGGTTTCATCACAGTGCTATGAAACAAGAAGACAATAGTCTCAAAACTAAAGTTATCAATATGATGCCATTGTAGCAAGGATGTGTTATGTGTTACTGTCAATCATCCATAAGACGGAGCTGGTTAGATTTATATTTTTCCAGCTTGCCACAGAATTAACGAAAGTGCTTGGGCTTTCGTGCGGGCAGTGGTTTCCTACAGTGTGTGTGTGTGTGTGTGTTTCTCTCTGTACAAATGTATGTATGTATATGTATGTATGTATGTATGTATGTATGTATGTATGTATGTATGTATGTATGTATGTCTGTATGTCTGTATGTATGTCTGTATGTATGTATGTCTGTATGTATGTATGTATGTCTGTATGTATGTCTGTATGTATGTATGTATGTATGTATGTATGTATGTATGTATGTATGTATGTATGTATGTATGTATGTATGTATGTATGTATATGTATGTATGTATGTCTGTATGTATGTATGTATGTATGTATGTATGTATGTGTGTGTGTGTATGTGTGTGTGTGTGTGTGTGTGTGTGTGTGTATGTATGTTTTCTGTGTGTGTCTGTCTGTCTGTCTGTATGTATGTAATAGTCATATTAGTTGTGGTATGAAAGTTCTGTCACTCATGCTATGCAATGACGTGTGGGTACTTGAAGCACCGTAAAATATCACAAACGTAATCAAATCCACTACTACCGTGTCAGATGTTAGGTAAGTATATAGTGAGTGAGTGAATTTAGTTTTTTACCGCATTCAGCACTATTCCAGCTAATATGGCGGCGGTATGCAAATAATCGAGTCCGGACCAGACAATCCAGTGGTCAACAGCATGATCATCGATCTATGCAATTGGGAACCGATGACATGTGTCAACCCAGTTCCAGTTAGTCGCCTCTTCCGACAAGCATGAAGGCTCATTCTAACCCGGACCTTCACGGGTCTAGGTGAGTATAAGGTGAAATGGGGGTTAGCGTAAAGACATGTATATGACGTATGTGCTTGTGTGTGCGCGCGTGCGTAGAGTGCTGAGGTACCTTCCCGTAGTTTAACATGGATAACCTGTTCTTGTTTTATCCCTTAATACTAGGCGCCAGGCAGATTAACAACAAGTACCATGTTTTAATGTCTTGTATGTTGCGACCGGGGATCGAACCCCGAGCTTCTGCTCTCCGGGCAAACGCTCTATCCACTGTACCACGGAGTCGGTGAACACAGCGAAAATGCCGACTTTTTTCATTTCGTCACAGTGGTTCGAAACGTAAAATACTGGCATAATCAAGGTATATACTGTCAGTGACGGGGTCTTAGCACTACATAAAATAATTTATAGCGCTAAGACCCCGTCAGCTCAAGGTTCTCAAGAGAGTGAAACCGTTAACGAAACATAAATACCATAGCTCTTGTAACTAAGACGATATGATTGTTTGGCGTTTGCAATACGAAGGCTGGAATCCAGGCAATTCAGTGATAGATACCATGAGCAACGACCCCTTAAGTGGAACGAAATGTTCCAACAGACGGCAGAATAAGTATACCAGGGGTTGATATCATGAGCGTCGTTTTACAATGACAAGCAATCAACCGCGTCTGACCAGAAGATCCACAGCGTCACCTCTTACGACAAACTCAGGTTGACGAGGAGCGAAATCGCCACGTGTTGATAATGTAGCTAATACGATAATCTTACGACTAAAATTGAACAGCAGGGTAAAGGTTTCACCCGGGTCCCCACGGAAGTTGTTACATTAATGGTTTGTTTTGGTTATTGTTGGCGGCAATCTGTAAATAATCGAGTCTGGACCAGACAATCCAATGATCAACAGCTTGAACATCAATCTACGCAATTTGGACACGATGGCATGTGTCGGCCAAGTCAGAGAGTCTGACCACCTGATCCCGTTAGTCGCCCCTTACAAGCATGTGTAACTGAAGATGCTAACCCGGACCTTCACGGGTTTATACTCAATGAAACGGATATAATTGTTCTAACCTTACGACAAGCATGGGTTGCTAAAGACCAATTCTAACCCGGATCTTCACGGGTCCCACATTAATGTAATCTAGAGCTACAGAACAGACACCGTCTATGTTTCAGTGGCCCACTCCGAGGTCTACGGTTACGGCTTCCGGATGTACGAATACCTTCCTCCTCCTGACAGCGTCTTGACGACGGCAGAAGACCAGGAGAACACCCTCGGCTTCTACAGCCTCCGCTCCTTCCTCTACCCACACATCTACACCATCTGCTTCGCCATCGTCGGCCTCTTCAACTCCAACCTCAACCTCTTCCTGGTAGGTATTCATCACACCAAAGATGCCCAGGAGACAAAACCTAAACTGAAGTGTATGACACGGTGTGTTGTGTAGCCTAGTGGTTAAAGCGTCCGCACATCACGCTGAAGACCCGAGTTCGATTCCTCAAATGGGTACAATATGTGAAGCCCATTTCTGGTGTCCCCCGCCATGATATTGCTGGAATATTGCTAAAAGCGGCGTAAAACCATATTCACGCAATCACATTCTAACAAGAAACTAGTCTTCACGTCTACGCTTCCTTTTTCTATGGGATTATGGTTTCTTTGAACCACTCTAAAGATATAAACCAAACCGAAAATCTAAATTAATATTAGATGGCGAATGTTTCTTACATGCTGCCCAGAACCCCAAGAAATTGTGGTACTTCCGAATACATTTTTGAAATGATGGTAATATTTCATTAATTTTTTATAGTGAAATATTTGTTCCATTAAAGAAAAATACTCCTCACACTCTGTCTAAAAAAAAAGAGAAACCACAAGGCAAATATGTTGTTTTGACACGCAGTGCTTCATTCAGTTAAAAGGGGCGGTGGGGTGGCCTAGTGGTTAAAGCGTTCGCTCGTCACGCCGAAGACCCGGATTCGATTCCCCACATGTGTGAAGGCCATTTCTGGTGTCCCCCGCCGTGATATTGCTGGAATATTTCTAAAAGCGGCGTAAAACTAAACTCATTCACTCATTCAGTTAAGCGAATGTCCTTTCGATATTGGGATGAGGTAGGTTATGTGTGGTGGAGGTTTTATATCACCATTTAGTTTCCAATGAAGGTACACATAAAGTAAAGAAATGTTGTGACCTTGGTATGGTGGGATTTTAAAGGAACGATTTCAATCGTCTCTTTACAACGTTATCTGTACAACTGACCTGTCGACGTGCAGTGGTCTTTGTATGGTTTGTACATCTAGGTATATTTAGAATGATAATAATAGAATCCATTCAGTATAAAGGCCACAGGACCAAGTACAATATGAATGCAAGATAAATACATACAAGGTGCTTAATTTCACAACATATGTATGTCATATATTCACTGCATATAGTGAGTGTGTTTAGATTTACGCCGCATTCAGCAATATTCCTGCTATATGGCGACGGTCTGTAAATAATCGAGTCTGGACCAGACAATCCAGTGATCGACAGCATGAGCATCGATATGCGCAACTGAGAACCGATGACATGTGTCAACCAAGTCGGCGAGCCCGTTAGTCGTCTCTTACGACAAGCATGGGTTACTGAAGATCAATTCTAACCCGGACCTTCACGGGTCCACAGCATATACGTTGAAGATATGTACAAATATATATTGTACGCTAATGAGATGTTGTTTACAGGTAGGTCGACTCATCCACGTGGGCGTGTCGTCGTCTCTGCCCCTCGCAGTCTACCGTCTCTGTGACGTCGTCTACGGCAGCCACGACGTCGCCGTCCTCGCAGCCGTCTTCGTCTCCAGCTCGCTGCACCTCACCATCTTCGGCACACACACCCTCATCAACAGCTTCCTATCCCCAATCTTCATCTTCTGTTTAGCAGAAGTGCTCTCTGCTATCAAACTGTCCCCATCAGTCATTCCCAAACCCGCCCCTGGCATTCAAAATGGCGGAACCCAACCAAAGGACAAACCTGCCGCCGACGCCAGTGTCAAGGACGTAGGGGCTAAAGGTAAAGAGGTTGTTTATCTAAACGTGGCACCTCGAAGACTCAGATATGCTCTTTGTGGATTTATTCTAGGAGTTCTGTGCTACCTGCGGATTGACCTAGCCATGTTTCTAGCTGTGTCGGTGACTGGTTGGCTTATTGTCTGCGTGAGAGGTAAGGACCACCAGAAGGTGGTAATGTCCTCACTCCTAACACTGACCCTCGGCGCTGTCTGTGCAATATTACTAGGCGGCTGTGTGGACTTCGTGTACTTCGGCTGGTTCTTCTTGTCCCCATACCAATGGATTAACTTCAACGTCTTGAACGGCCTCGCAAACAGAGTATTCGGGAAAGGACACTTTCTGGATTATCTGAAGAATCTAAGCGCAGTACCATCAGCAGTGTTCCTGAATCTGTGCACATTAGGAATAACACCCGTGTTGTGTTGGTCGCATCACAAGAAGCTCGTGAAGTTCCGGACCCCCGTGTTATTCCTTCTAGGCACGTTAATGATGCTCTTCACCGCCTACAGCTTCCAGAGTCACAAGGAAACTCGTATTCTCCACAACGTGTTTGTACTACAGGCCATGGTTTGGGCAGGTGCAGTGCATTCATCTCTTGCTGCTCTGGGTTCTGGGAGAGCTCTGCCTCTCCGACGAATCTCCTATGTTCTGGTGACATGTGTAGTGATATTACAAGCAAATGACTGCTACAAAAACTTCCCCAGCTCATCTGACAGATCAAACGCAAACTGGGCCTTCAATGGTCTTTGGGAATCTGGTAATGTGAACGAATGCCTTGACTACGTGAGGCAGCAGAATGACGTCACTGGTTTGTTCCTCGATTATACTGTCTACGGAATAGGGGGATTTTCCGTCCTACGTAAAGACGTGCCCCTGATAGCTCGAGTTCATCACGAATACCACGAATTCGACCCGAAGCACCTTCCAAATTACAGACAAAATATCGACCCGAAATTGAGACTAGTTAACAGACTTGCTGACATCATGCATGTGAAACACAGTAGATACATACTGGGGAGACTTATCAACAGCACCCAGTACAACTACATCATTACAAAGAACGTCCGCAGATTCCGATCTCTGGCCTTCACGAATGTGTACAACGCTTCGGACTTCAGAGTGCTGAAATTCTTGCCCCGGAATCCAAACGCTACGATCATCAGCAGACTCAGGTTGATGAAGGAACTGCAGTCATTTCCATTTGATGGAGATGCTTCTATATTAGAATTTGAAGGATCTTGGTTGTTTTCTGTTGGAAGCTATAAGAAGGCGGTTGACCGCCTCCGTGCCGCCATCATCGTCAACGCCAGTCGTATCCGGCCGTTCCAGCTGATGAGCCTGTCGTACAGCAACATGGATATGCTTCAGGAAGCTGCTGATGCTGAACAGCAGTGCTTTGCCCTCCACTCCTTCGGTAAATGTATCGAGCCCCAGGGGCGCCTTGTGCTCAGCCCAGACTACAGCTTGGATATCTGAGAGACCTAGCTATTGTTTCAATTACAGCTAGGTAGATCTGAGGAGCCAAGCTGGTGTTTCAGTTACATCTTGACTATTTTATACATCAAACTGATGGTTTCAGTCATAATGTGAATATCTTACACGCCAAGCTTGTGTTTCAGATGCAAATTGAATATCTTACACTCCAAGCTTGAACATCTGTATACGCCCAGCTTTTGTTTCAGTTACATTTTAAACATCGTACACAAGAACCAAACTAATGTTTCAGTTACAATTTCAACATCGTACACACCAAGCTGATGTTTCAGTTACATTTTGAACATCGTACACAAGAAGCTTATTAATGTTTCAGTTACATTTTGAACATCGTACACAAGAAGCTTATTAATGTTTCAGTTACATTTTGAACATTGTACACACCAAACTAATGTTTCAGTTACAATTTGAACATCCGAATAGCCAAGCTGGTGTTTCAGTTACAATTTGAACATGTGACTTTAAGCTGGTGTTTCAGTTAGCTGCAGTATAAAACGGCAGCGGATCCGCATTGTTCCATGTAATTATTAGCGCCGTGCATGACGTTATTCCTGAAATTTAACAAAGATGTTGTCTATGTGTTTGCTAGTGGATGCGGTTCTGGACATCATCCGTTGTTTGTACAGAAGCAAACTTTCATTCCAAAATATTTCAACCTTCAACTCCAACCAGGACTTAGTGTTTTGCGCTAACAAATACACCACGCCTGTTGAGTACATTTACTGGCATGAAGAAGACAATCCAAAATCAATATGACTTCGACTCTTGGACAGTTAGTCTGGAATTGGCAGGCCTTTCAAACACTGAAAGGGCGGTGGGGTAGCCTAGTGGTTAAAGCGTTCGCTCGTCAGGACGAAGACCCGGGTTCGATTATACCTCATGGGTACAATGTGTGAAGCCCATTTCTGGTGTCCCCGCCGTGATATTGCTGGAATATTGCTAAAAGCGGCGTAAAACCATACTCACTCACTCACTCACAACAGTGAAGAAGTGTCGTTTTCTGTCTGTGATCACTTGTTATTTCGTTGTATTTATAATATTTATCAACCTATGAATGTTTGTTTGTATGTCACAAAGCCGTCCATCGAAAATACATGCATTCCGTCCACAGAGTAAAAACTGTAAATTGTGATTAAATAAATACTTTCCTTTGATTATTGTGATTACGGAAATAAGCGTTGTTTTGTTGTGTAGTTCTCCAGCTAAATGACGGCGGACTGTATATAATCGAGTCTGGACCAGACAATCCAGTGATTGACATCCTGTGCGTTGATCTTCAACACTGACACTTAAGCGCGGTGGGATGTTTCTTCAGAAAACAATTGGCATTATAACCATGATGGTATCATAGCAAGGCAATTTGATGTGAGGAAATCCGTTCCAAGACAAGCATATCATTTCAACGATGTAGATAGAAGCGACACAACCCTTTCAACATGTACAAGAAATCTCTGCTAAATGCAGAGTTGATTGTACAACAATGACTATATCATGAGTATGTATTTGTTTCAGCAGCAAAACAGCTGTACGATGCTGTTTGTAAACAAACAATTGTGGACAGACAATCCAGTGATTGTCACCATGCGATACGATGACAGAGCATGTGTTTATGAATCACGATCAAATAGTGATGACATCAGGTGTCCGCGAACAGGTGAGCGTATCCTGCCCCACCGGTAAATCATAAACACATGCAAAGTCTTGTCAATTGTTCACCTGATATTGTGCGGGGACGTATGGTATATATATTGGGTCTGACATAACTTTTGTCACGATTCATCAAATTTGGAAACGTCCTTCGAAGGCCTGTCATAGATATGCTTAAAAGCATGGGGGCATGATCCAGCGAGCTTGAGGTGCCGGGATCGAACCCACCTGTGACCGGGTGTAAAAAACCTTGGAGTCAACTTTGTGTGCAGACTCTTTCAGTGTTGTCACAACCCCTAGTGTACAGTACACAACCCTATGCACTTGAAAGAGCCCATGAATCCGTTGGTATATGACCAGATGGTGGCCACATGAATACGTGCAAATACCTATAGTTTGGCATGCAATGCATGTGGACCCGTTTTTTTGTAAATATCTCTTCATCCAATGACCCAATCGATCTCAAACTGTGCAAGTGGATGTTTTGTCAGACAACCTAATCACATTGTAAATCACCGATTTTATGCATTTGTATTAAAGAATCTGTCTATGTAACTGTCAACAAAATAAACAGCGGAACGCAGAATGCTTGCAGAGGGAGGGAGCCAATGACCTGTAACAGCGGCAGTGTTGGGTCATAAAGGTCAACTTCGTCAATGTAGGTCAGCTATGCACGTGACAGGTATGAAGAGGTGTTCATTTCTAGCAAATAGCTGGCGAATGGCATCTCTGATGACCCTGATGTCAAAAGAATCTAACTTTGTATGCCTACCTTTTTGTACAAGGTTTGGTTTATTGGTTGTTGGTTTATTTTTCACAATATGTAAATAAGCTTTCATGATGACAGCTAGAAGTAGTCAATGTGAATGATCCAAACGGTCTATCACTGTGCAGTGCACAGGTAACTATCATGAACTGCACGTGCATTTACCTTTATGACCCAACACTGCCACTGTTACAGGTCATTGGCTCCCTCCCTCTGCAAGCATTCTGCGTTCCGCTGTTTATTTTGTTGACAGTTACATAGACAGATTCTTTAATACAAATGCATAAAATCGGTGATTTACAATGTGATTAGGTTGTCTGACAAAACATCCACTTGCACAGTTTGAGATCGATTGGGTCATTGGATGAAGAGATATTTACAAACAAAAAGGGTCCACATGCATTTCATGCCAAACTATAGTTGCGGGTACAGCAACGTGCAGTAAACTTGGACAAAGTACTGTGACTATGTGTCCCAGTCCACCCAGCTGCGAATGGGTACCTCGTAAGGCTAGGAAAGCCACATTAACTCGGTGCGCCTAGTGGCTGCAAGAGATGTATGCTCCCCAGGGATTTGAGATTGACAATACGACGTGCCGTTGAGATTGACATCCAGTGATCGAGGGAAAAACAAAGCTGAACTGGATACCGGCGCTATACAAATGATAGCATGATAATAAAAAGCTAATTACTATGTTGGCATTGTAACTAGTGACGGTTAACATGACTTTCTGGGTTTATCGCTGATATAGAGCTGAATGCGACAACTATACGCAAAGATCTAATCAAGCACCCCCTGTATTTTTGCAATGATAGGTTTTCAACACGTACATAAACCTTCACGTGGTGACCACGAGGTTTTCTGATCCATATGATCCTTTGACTCATAAAAAACGACAAAATGATTGGAATACATGTTGATTTTATGATGATAATAGCTCATTTAAAAAACAAAAAAACACACCCAAAAAACGCACTGATTTTCAAGCAAAACCATTCCTCGAGTAAAACAGCTTCCAACTGGGTCAGGTTCTGTGCAGGAGGATCCGTTTGTTGCACACGTCCACCAATCATGTCTCAGATATGCTCCAAAGGGTTAAGATCGTTGCTCATTCAATCCTGAGGTATGTCAGGGGGTGCTTAACTGAGGTCTTTGTGTATATATAACTGGACAATGAAAGTGAGCATTTTTGGTCAAACACTGGTTAGTACACTGGCTTCTGTCCCTTTTCAACACTCTTGGGACAAGACACCTGAGGCACACAAAGTCAGCGATCTAGCCCACACAGCCACCGCCCATAGAAAATGGAAGCTCTAGATCACGGAATCTGTGTCCCTCTCTGACAAGTGTAATTGTCACAGATGCTATTGCTGAAGCTATGAACACATGCCTTATAGGAAGTGTTTAGATGCAACATTTCATATTTGGGACCACACTTTCTCAGTAAAAAATCTGTACTTTACTGAGAAAGTGTTACATATGTTGCTATTCTTAATGTAGCGTGTGTGTCAATGTTTAACCATTCTTATGATTCTTGGTTCAGCAAAACATTACTAGAATTTGTATTTCTATTCATGTGTTACATCCGACCACTTCCTAGAAGGCCATCGGAGCCGTAGCAACTTTTACTTATCCGAAGGTACACAAAGTATTTGATAGATTGGTTGAAAATGTGGAACACCATCTCATGTTCTGACACGAGGACGTTTTGCACTTGCACGTCAGTCACGTCCGTCGGAGTCGACAATGGCTTCTGTAGTGTTCTCAAACACGCGGCTTCCACTTGACTTGGCAATGCCATGTATGTCTCGTAGTTCGCCGAGAAATCCCACTTATAATATCTGAGATTTACACTTAAACATGGGCAGGTAGGACACACGAACGTATGGTTGGCCAAGTGATGGCCGAGCTGACCCGATCAACCAGCTGAAGGATGTTATGTCGAGGGAAATGGTACCGGGCAATCAGTTCTGTGTCGGTCAACGTGTCCAATATTTGGGTCCTATCTCTGAATATTCGCTCTCACTTGGATTCTCAGTAGTGTCGCCATGTTAAACGATGTCGTAAGCTAGTTACAAGTGCCCCTTACCTATCGTATGCTAGGAGGTTGTTTATGATGGGGTGTAAAGTTAGAAGGTATATTTGTTGAATGTGTTTCGGTAATGGATCTGGCCGAAGTCCTGGAAACTATCTTGAATCAAGCTTACGGTAACCATCTACAATCCTCCACCGACAGCGTTGCCTAAACGCCTGTATACTGACAATTGATCCATATTGCACGAAGCACACTTAAAATGTCGATATTGTCTCATGTTATTCTGCACCCTTGCTGTTGCCAGTTCGACGCACAGCGTGTGTTGGAGCTCTCATGTTTTGCTTGCCTGGCAGTTTTTACGTTTGTCTTCTGCAAGATGTCTGTTTGGCTTGTGTTGGAACTTTTAGGTTTGGCATACTTGGGAGCTTTCATGTTTGGCTTGTGTGGGATCGTTTACGTTTGGCTTGTGCAAGATGTCTAATGTATAGCTTGCATGGGAGCGTTTGCGTTTGGCACGTGTGTGAGGGGTTGGGTGAAAACGACTGATCGGGCAGCAGAAAGGAACCCATTTGTTTTACTTGTCTAATTCCTGAGGTAAAGGGGCGGGTTCTGTTGCTATCATGTTGAACACATAGAATGTTTACACGATGCAATGGTATCATCTGCAGGATACCTCTAAAGAAACGACTCTGAGCGGTCTTTAAATGTGACTTTGACCGTTCAGAAACACTTCTATGCCACTAGTTACACCCGAGTCACTATAATGAAAATTACTTTATAACTTCTGTCCACCAACCTTGGTACCTGTAAAGTAGCTATGGGATGGCCTCCCAATTCATAGCCGAGGATTGACATTCCAAAACAGCAAGGGTTGATATGGCGTTTCTTTAACTGCACAACGTGAGACGTGCGACGTCTACGCCGTGCACCAAATACGCAAGATAACGTTCCAGATTTGGCAGCAGAGTTACTAAGAATATTTTGAGGTACATTTCTATTCATTTAAATAATTTCAAAATATTTTGATACATATATGTATAGATGTACATTAACATTTAGATATCATATCTAAAACATTTATACAAGATTTCTGAAGTGCGTATGGAGAGAAGCCCAGATGGCATGAAAGCCTGCATGTTTACTGTATGAGAAGGCAGTAAATTTTGTTTTTTTATAGCATCTATATATTTCTTGCTGTAAAGGTTAAAAATTTGGTTTGACTTTCTTAATATTACACCTGTAAAGAAAAGATTTTGTTGTAAGAGTAATTGCATTCAAAGGGTTATTATACACACACTATTCTCTTCGTTGAATTCAATGTTTCCTTCAGTGTATTTTGCAACCCATTCTGAAAGTACTGACATTGAAATTATTACCTACATTCCTGACTCTGTAAGAGAACCGTCTTGTCCCCTGGTTTACAGGGGAATCACGAGAATCAGTAAAGTAATGGGTGCCAACAGAGCAAAGTGCCATAGGGACGACTGCAATATTGTAACCATTAACATTAGCATCAGATCAGTGACAACCATTGCTGCCAGTATGTCTTAGAAAACATGGTGTACACTTAGTTTACAAAACATGCTACTTGCTAGCGGTATACACACGCAGACACGCACACACGCACGCACGCACGCACGCACAGACACGGTTCGAGATGTCTTCATAACACGGTTTGAGAAATTTTACAAAATATCCAAGTATCATTCTGCGCATCTTCCTAACGGTCTCTGCTAATGGCCTGGGTACGGCTTAGTAACGTCATCAAACTGTCATCGGAATGTCATCATAACGTCTTAATAACGCGCATTAGCGTAGCCACATCCTCTCCATCATTCACATCTAGCAGAGAGTTAGCAGACAGCAGGGCGAAGGTCATTGTACATGAAAGACAGGGCCTTGTGTACAGAGCTCGTACAAGACTGTGTACACAGCTCTATATGTTACTGTGTACACATTTATCCTGTATGTACCTATGTACAACAGCCTCCTTGTGACGTGTTGATGTGGAGGGTTGGAGGGAGGGGAGGGTTTAGGGGAGGTGTTGAGTACACACCACGGGGTTGTCATTTTGGTCACAGATGATCTGGATTATAACATGGGATCTTGCCTGTGTGTAAACAATGCCTTCTGGCTATGTTGGCCACTCGCAAAGACAGAAACACCGAGAACACACAAGACAAAGGCATCAGACAGACATATTTCAACAGATATGGAAAGCAAGCGCAAGAACACAAACTATGATCCACTGTTTTAATGAGATGTTTCTCGTAACACTTGTACATGCACATGCAAGCCTCGTGCAGAGTTTCGGAGTGAGTGAATGAGTTTAGTTTTACGCCGCTTTTATCAATATTCCTGCAATATCAGAAATGGGCTTCACACATTGTGCCCATGAAGAGAATGGAACCCGTGATTCTGGCGTTACGAGCGAACCCCTTAACCACTAGGCTTAGCCCAACGCCCCTGCAGTATTTCGGAACTGTCCAACACATTTTATGTAAGGTTGTAAGGTTGTTTGGTACTTCAGAATGTTTCATGGCCTGTGGAACAGACACACTGAGAACAATAGGACGACCCAAAAGAAATATTTATGATGTCTTTTTATGTCACTGTGGAGAAGACTTTAAGATGAATGAGCGCGATGATGGTAAAAACAAAACCTGGGTTGTGTACATAATGAAGTATCATTTGGTTGAGCTAACGACCCGTGCCTCAGCTTATCTAGTTCCTGTCATGTGTGTGCGAGCGTGTGTGCGAGCGTGTGGGTGCGTGCGTGCGTACTTGCATGCATGCGTGCGTACGTGCGTGTGTGTGTGTGATATTCCTGATCTGTGAAATCATTATCCGATTTTTTCCGATTGTGTGTTATGGGTACCTACCGTTAAAGGATCACTGGCAGTGCTAATCTTCCAGAACATGTTTGAGAGCATAGGTGGCCTAGTGGAATAATACCTACTTATCCTCATGAACTCTACATGAATAAAACATGTCTTTTACACATGTCTTTTGTGGCTGAAATGTGTATTGTGTGTGTCTGGTATATGTGCATGTGTATGCGAGTGTGCACGCGTGTGTGCGTGCGTGAGTGTATGGTACTTTCTTGCTGCCCAACACAATATTTCAGCCATGACATCAGTCTGTAGATAATCGATTTTGGACCACACAATCCAGTGATTGATGTTATGAGCAATGACCCACAACGATATATGATGACCCACAATCAAACTGGTCATCATGCCTGGCTACCGGATCAATTAGCGGTCACTCCGCCCGGCCAGCATAGCTCACTGCCCACCGTTTCCGGAGTCCTCACATGCTCCCTTACGATGTCCGCTATACGACGACATCAGAACTGAGTTCATTAGATGCTGAGAAGTTATGATGGAAAACGTCTCTGAACGCCAGGATGTAGAGCGTGCTAGTTTTATACTTCAAACCCTGTGATATTTCCTTTAGTTGACAAAACCTGCGTTTCCATTTTAAAACGTAGACATTTTTTCCTTTATCAATCCTAATGCTTTATGCATGTATATATTCTCTGCAACTCCAGATACCATTCCAGCCCGGACTGTAAACATATAAACTGATGTGCTGAATGTAACTACCCAGTCCCTTTAGTTACCAACAAAACATTAATAAAGTGAACAAGCAAACAAATCTTTTATACTTCATTCTTGTTCAGATCTTGATTTCAGTAAATATGTATAATGAATCAGTGTAGATTTCAGCAAAAACGTATAATGAATCTGTGTAGAACTATGTAAAATGAATCTGTGTAGATTTCAGTAAATATGTGTAATGAATCAGTGTAGATTTCAGTAAATATGTATAACGAATCAGTACAGATTTCAGTAAATATGTATAATGAATCAGTGTAGACTGATTTCAGTAAATAAACATAATCCCTGACGGAATCAGTAAAAATAGATAATCCCTTAAAAACTCAGTATAGATACATATTTACTGATTATACATATTTACTGTAACATATATATCTTATTTCTTGTGATAGCTTTTATATGCATGTATACTTCATATTTTAAGTTATAACATTTTACAAAATATTGTTTTATGTATTTCATACGCCCTTTAGTGAATCTCTTAATAGTCTCTCATAACTCTGTGTGGAGTGACTCGTTGCATTTTTAATCACTTTTTACCAGCGTATATCGCTGTATTTTTATATTTTAATGTAATGAGGCGAGACTTCAATAAACTATCTGTCTGTCAGCGTTAATATTGTGAATAAACCAACAAAGATTTTATTATAACAACATCAAACAGGAGACAATGCTGAACGACTGTCTGACATAGCTGAATATCTGAAGAGCATTTTTCTGTGCATCTGTCTAGCTTGCACAGGCCACCTGTTTCCGGGTGTATCAAATATTTCAAGTATTTAATTACTAGTTGTAGTTGAATATAAAGCCGAGGAAACGCATGGCCGCTTCTCTACATAACAGCTGCAAGGCGTACGACAATGATGCTCTTTATGACCATTCTTATAACAACTAATACATTGTGCGTTATAGCAAACGCGTTTTAAATAGTTATTGTGGTATCTTATCAACGTAAAAATATATAAATAAAACATTCTGATATTGAGCTCCATGGCCCGAGGCCATATCAATATAACATTCTGAATGATATTGCAGTCAGTGATAATCGATATAACATTTTTGATATTGATATAACATTTTGATTTCGATATAACATTTAACAATATTTGATATCGATATAACATTTTGAATTTGTGGACAATTATTTTTTGAATGTATTTGAACAAGGGATCCTTGGCTAATGAGATGTATCCCAGCTCCTGCTTGAATCGTAACGTACTTGAACGGACTCGTAGCCTGAGTCTGGTTTGTATTGAAGAAGTATTAACATTAACAAAACATACCAGCGGGTGGTCACTTTGTTTTTGCATACACTAACAAGTACAGTCGCTAACGTGAATAGAATTATTAGATAAACGCCATGAGGCAACTATATCATAGAGGTGATAATTGCACCCTCGGGCAATCATCCCTCCAGGCAGATGGTAAAGACTGCCCCTGGTGTATGTAGAATCACAGAATGTTTTCACATATTGTATGTAACTGTATCCGCACAGCATACGTTCAACCGAACTTAAGGCAACAGAACAAACACTCAGCACATTGCCGAATGAAAATCGACACCTGTCTATAGAAAACCAGAAACCAGGCAAACAATCTGTACCCAGAACACAAAAGGAAAACACCAGGTTTTGTCTTTACCCAGTGAGGTCAACGTAGCCTGCAGCGACACCCCACACCAACCGTCCGCCCATCATCCCGCGGGCAGACGACAGTTGCTGAGAGCAGACGACAATCAGCGGAGCAGACGATAAGAGGATCAGTCTACTTTACGCTCGTCAGGTGTTGATGCAGATTCGCTGGAATGTTCTAAGTATCTGGTTTACAAAGCTTCCATTTGTCTTCATGTAGGCTGTTTGTATCTCAAACATAGTTGACCGACATTGCTCGGACGTCGATAACCAGGACCGGAGTAGTATGGTGGATAGCATCACAAGGGAACACTATCACAGGTAGGCTCACAGGTGTCACAGAATATGTGATCGTGTGACAGTTCTTTTTTTTTGATTTCAGCGAGACGTTTTTTCCGCATCTCTTATTCAGGTGAAATAATGTTCCATTCTGCAAGTAACCTCACTAACATCATATTATTGATATCGACGAATGGGTGTTTCTGTTTTGGGGGAATGCTATTGTTGTATATGTTCATAAGCCGTTTCACTGCATGAATTTTAGTCCTCCAGTCTGAAAACAAGCCAAAAATATTTCTAAGGTCACAGTGGTCTTTGTTTTTAAGACATATGCACAACTGGAATAATTACAGAAGGGGTCTTTTAATTTGCGACGTTCCAAATCACTAGACTCTGATATTGACAGGATTATAACATGCTCTCCGGCCAAATGTATTCAGATGTATTAAATTTTGAAAGAAACGGTACGAACTATATCAACATGCAGGTTGATCGTCAGGTTATCTGTCAAATGCCATGATGTTCAAGCGTTGATAAACGTCACTGGCCACTAAGCCAACATAATCGTTCCCGTTTATATTATTGTTGCCTGTCTTCCGTTTGCTCCTCAGACGGCCCCACAGCTAAACCCAATTTGTGTGAGCGGCTCATTTGGAATGTCTGAGTGAACATATCACTGTTTGGAGGCACATCAACATTTGTTTGTTATATGCATTTTGACAACCATACCTCCTTCTTTGTTATTGCGACTGACTCGTCTCGTTCTAGGGTACAGAACGACCTTATTTGTATGTGCAACTTGTGCAATACGATATTTTGTTTTGCTTGAAGCAATGCCCATTTTTATTGTGACATTTGTCATCAATATACCTATGGATAATCAACCTAGAAAAGGATTTATAGCTTCACGTCGATACCACATCCAACTGCGTGTCGGTTGTCATATAAACAACTTTGCATATCCAACGGCAACAAGCCTAATTCGTGATTGATTGAAGGCAAATGTTGAAGCGTTAACACAACGTGGATATGGACGCATTCTGTTCATGCAACACAATCGATACCTCCCCAGCGATTGCTTAATCAGTTATAGAGCATTTCTAATGTCAATGTCGTAGCATATCGCTTTGTTTACTATAACCCGTCACAAAATGAAGCATTCAGATGCGACTGCGTGAATATTGTCTGGCAAATTGGCATCTTACGTTTTGGTCATGCCTCTTCACAGCATAGACAGCTTCAGTAGATTTGATGCCATTGTTTACTAACTGGTTCCATCACGTGGCACATTGTCGAGGTGATGCGTGTAAATATTTTATCATCATTCTATAATATTTTTTACCTTACAACGAATCGTCTGAATACGCCTTGACGCAGCTATTTTGAAACTGTCAACGGTGTGAAAAAACAACGTTCATGACCAGTTTCATTATGGTTTTGTATTTTAGTGAAACCCTGTTAATGATATCGAATTTGATCTGCTAAACCCTTTCCGTACTAGCGTCTCAAGAGCAAGGCGTACTCGGGTAAAATCTATTGAATAGAACCCGTGAAGATCCGGGTTAGAATTGATCTTCAGTAACCCATGCCTGTCGTAAGAGGCGACTAACGGGATCGGGTGGTCTGGCTCGTTGACTTGGTTGACGCATGTCATCGGTTCCCAATTGCGTAGATCGATGCTGATGCTGTGTGGTCTAGACTCGATTATTTACAGACCGCCGTCATGGAATATTGCTGAGTGTGGATTAATACTAAACTCACTCACTCACTAATGAATAGATAAATCTTCGAGCTGAAGTACATGTATAAGGTGTCCAGGTATTATGGTATCCGGGATTGTGAGGTTCTACTATATATGAGTTGTGGCATTCATGCCGTTTCAAATGCATTGCTTCACACTGTTTGTTATCGATGAATGATCCTTCCAAGCGATGTTAGTAAGCCCCGTAACACAACCATTGTACGATTCTCTGACACACTGCCATACTTAACATGCCCAATGTAATACACTGAATGCTAAGTATCTATTTTGGATAAACAGGGATATTGTATAAGGCCGCACGTATGATATTACCCTGGCGCAGACCACGCTCAGCATAAATGTTTCTGTGAAGGAGAAATGGATTACATGTCTCGTTCAGGATTATTGCACTATTGCACTTATGAAGCGATATGCGTGCGCTCGTGTGTGTGTCTGTCGGTGTGCGTGCGTATGCGTGCTTGTGTCGGTTTTATTGTGCCAGCTCACTGGCATGCCCCATGCCACAGTTTGACATAAAAACCAACTGACTCAGAGTTGACCAATACTTGTTTTTAATGCTGACGGTTAGGCAGGGTACAATGGTCTTATGGTATGAGGTGACAGAGGATCGAACCCCGCCTTCCACTCACCGGACAAACACTCTGTCCTTCCAACCACAGATGGGGTGTCTGGGTATAATTTAAGCTATGTAATATTTCAGCAGAGGCGCTTCTTATCACAATACTGATGATGAAACATTGTCAGTGAGGGATGGGTGACACAAAGAGGGTTTTGATGAGTTCCTGAAATGTGACAACCAAAGCAAGGGTGGTGACTACCATCGAGTGAGTGAGTGAGGGTGAGTGAGCCGCTTTGAGCAATATTCCAACAATACCACCGCGGCGGACATCAGAAATGGGCTTCACACATAGTGCCATGGGTGGAATCGAACTCAGGTCTTCGGCGTGACGAGCGGACGATTTATCCATGGGGCCACCCCACCGCCCCTTTAAGTGTAGGAACCAGTACCGTATCAGTTCAGGATTGGATAGGCGTCAGGAATGCGATACCGATACAGATATATACAGATGAGGGTTGTGGGAGCTGTCTCACCTCCGCTACACAGTCGTCAGTTAAATGTTACTTGGACAATAGGATGAGACCCGAATTTACCTTCGATGAGTCAAGAGTTAAGGATTTTGACTTCACGCTTGTTGAACACCTGGGAAAGATACGGGCCCACCTCAATAAAAATGCTTCGCAGCATGTGTCATGATATATGTTTAACTTCACCCATACGTAATATTTGATAGATCAACGAACATCCATTGACAGAAACATATGTTTCCACTTATTGTCACAATAATACCTTCTTTGACATTGAAGTGACGCCAGTCATGTGTCAGATAACTTACTGGCTTTAACATACCTCCCTCTGAATCTGTTCAAGATGATGCTTGTGGTGTGGTTCCTAGGTCTACTGATTTTGTGTTATGTTTGACTTCACGCGTGAAGAAATGTGAGTCATTTGATACACGTGCTGGTGATAATCCACACTAGGGTCACAGACCCGCCAGTATCTGTCATCGGTTTTGTGTCAGCGGTTCATTCTCACGAAGTAGAACTTTGGATGGGTGTAAAAACAATGTTGCTGGACTGATGGCAGGTGTCAACATGGTCGAGTGGCCTCAAACAGTAAGGTGGGTTTGTGAAAACAAGCACTAGGTTGCATGTAGATTCTCACACTGTTATCATGCTAGAAATGACTACAGCCAAATGATGAGAAGTATATATACATGGTATGTTTTGACAAACAGCAGATAACATTTTATGTTTTGACAAACAGCTGATAACATGATATGTTATGACAAAAAGCAGATTTAGATCAACAACGGCACGTGATTAAATAACAACTGGTAGATAATTGGGAGAGGCCAGTTGGGGACTAAGGACAACAAATGGCACTGGTAACGAAGCCAAAGTTATATGTTTCACTTTTTGACTCGGGGCGGTGGGTAGCCTAGTGGTTAAAGCGTTCTCTCGTTACGCAGAAGGCTCGGGTTCGATTCCCCACATGGATACAATGTGTGTAGCTGGAATATTGCTAAAAACAGCGTAACACTAAATTCACACACACACACTTTTGACTCACCGACTTGTAACCTTTGTATTTTATCACCCATTGCAGACGAATTTCATTTCATTCATTCAAATTACTATTTTCTTCCAGTAAAAGAAAAGAATTGAAATCCCTTGCAAAATTTATAAATATGATAGCAACAAGAGTGCAATAGCCTTTCTCTATATTGGTTGTTGTATCAGTTATAGGTCGGATAGGTACTGCCATCTTGCACATCATACTGTATTCTCATACCTTGTAATTCACTCTTATACCACCTTTGGTGGTCCTACGGAGAATAAAGAATCTGAATCTGAATCTGAACTTCTTGAATACCAATCAAACAATAAGCACTAGGTTGAATTGTAAAACAAAAATGATAAAGAAACGGATTATTGTATTGTACATACATTTTCTATTCAGCATTCAATATTTTTTGTAGAGTATATGTCATTGTGCATGAGCAAACAATGCACAAATATTTACAACAGTAGACTTCTAAAGACATATGATTCATTAAGTGATTTATTAGCTGTTAGTTGGCTAACTCATTTCACTTTACAGTTCACATTTTCTAACTAACCAGGTTTTAACCTATTGAAACATCACTGCATCACAACACAAAACTACCCACAGGTGTCAATGATTCAATCTACCATGAAAACTGTTAAACAACAGATTCCGATTTGGTGTAATGAAACCAGGAGACCAAAATCCCCTTTACTGTACCATATTAAATCTTCTATAGAGAAAACCTACGTGTCCGGTTTAACAAGGCGTTGTGGACGATATCAGTCTACCCAGACCCACAAAACATAATATTTATATATACCCGAAACAAATGGGATCAAATACACATCTCGTTTACAACACCTTCAATGTAATAATTGATACGTGTTTTCATTTTCAAAACAAACGATTATCCTTCCCTTTCTAGCTGCACCCAGGCAGTGGGGAAGCCAAGCGGTTACGGTTTCTGCTAGTCACGCCGAAGACCAGTGTTCGATTCCCCATAGGGGTACAACGTGTGAAGCCTAATTCTGGTGTCCCCCGATATTGCTGAAAGACATTCACTGACTAGCAGTATCACCCTGAATACCATTTCAACATATATTTACAGCGCTGGGTGTAAGCTGTATTCTATGAAGGTTGGTCTTCTCACGTGTGAAATACAAATGAATA